ATAGAAGTCTTTAAAAACCGGAGGCTGCCATCTCCAAGGACTCATGTTGATTATAGGTTTAACTCTTCTCTTTCTCTACATACTGCAGCTTTCTGTCCTCTGTGGCAGTAAGTTACATCCCTTGGAGAAAACCCCACCCCACAATTTTTTCTTGGCTTTTTAGCTAAAATCACCTGTATTGTCTGTTGTTTCCATTTGTGGATGGTTAATAGTGCAGAAGATTGTTTTTCTGTTTTCAGGATTACATGAAAACATTTTGGAACAGATCACTTTTATATATAATAAATCTTAGGATAGTATTGGTTTTGATGATTTATAAAACAGCTGTGTGCCGTAGCCCTGGTAGTGTGGATCCTTAGTGTGTAAAGAGTAGATAACTCATGTAATATGTGTGAATGAAAATCCATGGACTTTGTAAGAGTCCTCCATTTATGGCTATGATCCTAACAAACAAGATTAATAAGTTTCTTTCTCCTACCAATCTTCCTGTTTCCTAAAGGAACACGCATACGCAATATATATGCACCAGGATGGCCGAGTGGTTAAGGCGTTGGACTTAAGTTCCAATGAGCGGATGCTCTCGTGGGTTCAAACCCCACTCCTGGTATAATTTGGAGCCTCATGTGTGGGAAGCTGGATGGAATCTATGAGAGCAACAGATATGATTTTTAGGCATTTGATGTGAGCAATATCTTTCCCACAAAAATCTGTGATGCTGAACCCAAATGGTTAATGGAAAAACTCCAAGCTTGTGGATTAATTAGTAAAATTAATGGCTATAAAAAGAAGCTCACTGTTAATAAAATGAATACATCAAAATTGGGAGGGGTCACCTCTCTGAAAGGCAGTTATACTCTTTTCAACATAACATTGCAAAGAATTTGGGTATTTCATTATGTGTGTGTATGGAATTAAACAGAAAAAGACTAAATCAATTCTTACAAAGCAGCTTGAACACAGCCGGGCTTGTTTTTGTTAGCTGGCTTGACAAATCCTAAAACTCAGTCAGAAGTGGTTCCTCAATGTTCTTTTTAAACAGTTTTCCTGCTTCCCACTCTGTGCACAATTAGAAGGGTTTTTCTGTATGTTTCGGGGTGCAATGTATAACTAATGTAGAGAAACTTAGCTTGCGTTAATGATACTAAATAAATCTAGTTACTTCATCCAGTCACATTGCAAAGAAAGAAAAATAAATATGCCACATAGTAATAAAAGAGACTATTTACCCTGAAATTATTTTCAATTTAAAAATGCTTTAAAAGGGCTTATATGACCTTCAATACATAATTGTATTATTTTGATTTACATTAGAAACAACATCCCAAAATTTTCAGAAGACAGTTTTAAATATTTTTAGACCAACTTTAATCCAAATATGGAAAAAAAACCCTCAAAGTCACTGTTAAATGGCAAGCAGCTGTCAATTTATTTAACTTCGGATCCTTGCTCCTTTCATATCAATTATTAATAAGGAAAAAAAAAATGCTGCTGCCAACACGGTAGCTTTGATCTGCAATTTAAAGAAGGCAAAGAAAAAGAAAACATATTCTGGAACCTGTTATTAAAATGTATTTAAACTCCTTGAGCATTTTCTCAGTAATCCACTGTAGTCTGCAGTTAAAACACTGCAAACATTTATCCAGAGATCATGAGCAGTCCATGGCCAAAAAGTAGCAGTTCTCCTGACAGTTTGCGTTTATTTCTGTGTGATGGGGAATGAATTCTGGTCCATCAACTCTCCAACTCTCTCCTGGAGTGTTTGAACCACCTCTGCAAGAATGAACACGTGCGTGTCGTCAAGATCCTTGAGGATGAATTTCTTTCCCAAGGCCATCGTTTCATCCAGGTACAGGAGAAATTGTTTCATGGCAGGATCACTGCAGGAAGAGAAAGTTAAAGTTTCGGCTACTTAAAAACAGATTTCTGTGAAACTAACTACAAATATTTCTTGGCAAAGTTACAACCTTACCATTCAACAAGGACACCTTTGTGCACGTTGACCATATTGACAGGTGCAGAGAAATGGACAGTCGAAGCTGATTAAAGAGCTGAACACCTGCAGCACAGTAAACAAACCGACAGCTGAAGGCCTCAGGTAGAAGCAGCTTTACGGCAGCCTAAACCATTATTAAGGCACCAAACAGTCAGATAAACGCGTCACATGTTTTCGGACATTTTAATAATACTTTTATTACCATTACAACAAAGAAAATACTTGTAAACGTTTCAGTACAGCGTATGCTAGCTCTTTGTTTTAGCACCGGTTAGCATTTTGCTGCTACTATTAGCTCAAAATAGCATGGCCACAGGCATGTTCTGCTACATACCACGATCTTAAATATCTAAAAGAGCAAACTTCATGTACATACCTGTCTACAGTTAAGCGAAGGATTAACATAAAGCAACAAACAGCCGTTTATCTACCCGAGATCTCCAGCTGTTCCTGTTAAGTTTTCAAGGCATTGATGGGTTATGTAAGGTGTGCGCCAAGGGACAATCTTCTGATGTCCAAATATCGCGTTAGCGTGTTTTAAAAGTTTTTGCTGCTTCTGTGCTGCTTTTCTGTGCTTGGTAAAAGGTATCATATCAATACTGTGGGTTTAAAAAACTACGCTGTGTATAGATGAGTGAGTATTATGAAGAAAATAATGCAACATTCGTACCCAAGTGCATAAAATGCATTACAAAAACTGCATCATGACATTGATGCAAAATGTAAGTTAAGATCCAGTATAAAATACAGTACTGTGCCATTTCCCTCCTTCTGTCACTAACAGGAAAACTATGACAACTTGATACTATATATAGATATATTTACACAAACACTCAGAACCACTTATAAGGTACAACTGCTCTGCTGCTCCTTAAGGCAAATATCCAATCAGCCAGTCACATGGAAGTATTTTAGTGCACGTAAGCGTGTAGACATGACAACCAAGATGACCTGCTGAGATTTAAACTGAGCATCAGAATGGAGAAGAAAGGTGATTTAGGTGACTTTGAATGTGGGCTGATTGTCGAGTACTTCAGAAATTGCTGGTCACTTGAGCTACAACCATCTCTAGGATTTATAGAGACTGATCCAAAAAGAGAGAAAATATCCAGTGAGCAGGAGTTCTCTGGGTAAAAATGCCTCAGAGGAGAATGGTCAGACTGTTTTGAGCTGACAGGAAGACAACAGTAACTCAGATAATCACTTTTTTATATTCAATGTATGCAGAAGAGCATCTATGACTGAACAAAACTTTGAACCTTGAAGCAGATGGGCTACAGCAGCAGAAGAATAAGGTAAGAATAGGAAACTAAGGTTTCCGAGGCTGGTTTAATGGTGTAGGAAATGTTTTCTTGGCACAATTTAGGCCCCTTAGTTCAACCCATTTATTGTTCTGGACCATGTCCATCCTTTTATGATAACAGTGTACCCATCTTGTGATGGCCACTTCCAGCAGGATAAGACATCATGTCACAAAGCTCATATCATGTCATACTGGTTTCTTGTAGGTGGCAATGAGTTCACTGAACTCAAATGACCTCCAGTGACCAGATGTTAATCCTCTTGAGCACCTTTGGGATGTGGTATATTCCTATCATGGATATTCAGCTGACAAATCTGCAGCACCTGTGTGATGGTATCATGCCAATATGGGCCAAAATCCCAGAGGAATGTTTCAAGTACTTTGTTGTATTTTGTACTTTGTATATAGAAATGCATAGATGACTCATAAACCCTCAAACGTTACACATTTATTCATTTCATTGCCAGCATTTAGGACTGCTAGTGGCAGTGGGGGCTGCAAACACATGTATTAAAATTAATTTGCTTGATCGGTCCCGTACAACTGCATGTGCAATCTGAACTAAATGTATTAACTCAGGTCCACTTGAGGTAAGGCTTGGGAAAGAGTATGTTTTGGCACATAAGATGATAATCACACTATAGTTAGAGTAAAACAAATACATATAAAAATAAAGTCTTAAACCTTTGCTCTGGTCAAAAGTCGAGTTGCATGAGTAGCAACAAAATGTCAGTGCATTTTTAAGTAAATACAGTAGATAATGAGCATTGTGTATCCCATGATTAGCTGGTAATAAATCTAAAATAAAAGGAAATCTAGATAAAATTTCAATGTGCTTAATTTACTTGTAAACATAAGTTATTTTCTTTATAACTTAGCTGATGTAGCATTAAGAGACCTATCTCAGTGGATGACTTAAAAAACCCCAACAACAAAAAACGCACCCTGCTATCGTTATCACAACTGACAGGTTTCCACAAATTAGCTATACTGCAATCGCATTTGTGGTGCTTTATGTGAATGCGCAGTTATTTCTCTGTTTGGTTTGGAGTGTGGTATACATTTCAAGTATACAGCAGGTGGTCTCAGTGTCATTGTTTTCATAGATTTCTGTCAGTGGGCGATGTAGCTCTGCAGAGCGTCCAGGATGAACTGGAGGCTGCGTTTGTATAGAAACGAGTCCTTCCTCTCTGGTTTGCAGATGTTTAGGTGATCTACGTCCACTTCAATGAGCTCACCAATCCCGAGATCTGAAACCACAACACGATGAGACGCAAGACACTGCTTCAACTATGTGTTGTTGTTTTTTTAATATTTAAGCTGTACATTTCAGACATTACAGTATTTGGAGTTACATACTTGCTGACTGCGTTGGTACCACAAGTATCTTGATCATGGGTCCAATGTTTGTCGGTAGAGTCTCTGCAAAGCTCAGCACCTTGAAATCCTTTTCTTTGGCCAGGTTCAGGAAGTTGTCATTCAGGCTGCGCAGAGCTGGTGAATCTTAAAACACACACATCAATTCACATTAGATGCTGAAAGAGTTCCATAGACCGCAGAATTCATCATATTCACTGACCTTTACAGAGTTCTCTGACTTCTATGGAGGGGAAGAGAAGATATCTAACATTGACAGAGTACTCTGCCATGAAGGTGCCGTAGTGAGGAACACTATAAAACATAATCCCTTTGGTGTTCTGTAATAACCCATGCATGTCTGGGTCCTGTAAGGCATCCAGCAGCATTTTCTTTACAAGCAGTCCTGCAAGAGAAACCAAATGCAAGAGGATAGATTAGTAATTTTTTTTTTCAAATTGGATTCAAGGGATCTGCATAAAAGTCCGACATGCTTGTGGAAGGAAAGATGTGGGAGAAATACCTCCCATACTGTGGGCTACCCAGACCACAGGCCTTTCTCCAACTCCCGCCAGCTTTAACTTCTTTAGCAGCTCCTGACTTCTGTAGGCTAGAGACTTCCTGGAGAGACAGATAGTCAACCCTTTTTAATCTGTTGGAGTAATTAATCCAAGGGTACCCGACTTTGCAAAAATATTCTATTTTACCAAGAATAGCACCTTAATCACATGTAGACCTATAAAGAAACTACAGACTTATAGTTGTTTTTTTTTTACCTCTGATTCTCAGCAGGACACTGGGCCATCCAGTCACTTAGATGACTGTCATACTCCACCGACAGCACTCTAAGATTTGGACAGTCAGCAGCCAACCATGACTGACAATAAACAGTGATAAAACAACACGGAAGAACACTGAGATAAATCTTAAGCTGTGTGAGACCTCAGAAACACTG